AGAGCCAGACATCCTGGAGTGCAAAGTCCAGTGGGCCTTAGGAAGCATCACTATGAACAAAGCTAGTGGAGGTGATGGAATTCCAGTTGAGCTATTTCAAATCCTGAAAGATGATCCTGTGAAAGTGCTGCACTCAATATGCCAGCAGATTTGGAAAACTCAGCAGTGGCCACAGGACTGGAAAAGGTCAGTTTTCATTCCAATCCCAAAGAATGCTCAAACTACCGCACTTTATTCTTTGGGCTCCATTAGTTCAGTTGTGACTAAAGCATGCAGAAGGATTTTGGTAGAAGTTTCGAAAGGTCATAGATTGTGGCCAGACTAAGGAAAATTTAGACAGCAGTCTTAAGTCATTTACTATTATGGTATTCCTAGACCAGAGATGTTTAATAGAACTTTCTGTGATGATGGAAATGTTCTGTGTCTGCAAGCTGTTATCCACATGTTGAGGACTTAACATATGGCTAGTGCAACTGGGAAATTGAATTTTTAATTTTCTTTAGCTGTAGTCAGTTTAAATTTAAATAGCCATCCAAAGCTAAGGCTGGGGCTTCCCTGGTGGCTCAGTGGTGAAGAATCTGCCTGCAGTGCAGGAGATCTGGGCTTTTCCCTGGGTTGAGAAGATCCCCTGGAGGGAGGGCATGGTAACCCACTCCAATATCATTGGACACAACTAAAGCAACTTGGCTCATATGCACACATGAGGCTAAGACTACCAATGTTAACAGTGTAGCTCTAGCCATCAGGAAGTCACCAAAATATATAGTTTTTATTTATTTTGTTTTTAAATCAGGGAAGTGATGTGTGTTTTATACAAAAGAGAACTGTGGAAAGAGTGTGGGCCTTTGGATGGTAAGGAAGAGGCAAGAATGGAAAATCACTTTCTATCATGTGCTTGTAACAAGGATGGGGAACATAGGTGGGTGAGCTGCTTTGGGACAGTAGAGGTGGAGTTCAGTCCTGTAGAAGTTGCATTGACATTGTGGGATATTTAGACAGAAATGTCCAATAGGCAACTACAAATAAGAGTTGAGAGCAGAGACTAAGATTAGACGTGTGCATGTTTGTAGTCATCTACCTAAAGGTAATAAAGCCGTAGAAATGGGTTATGTCCTCCAAAGAGGGAATAGAAACCTTGGATAAAGGAGCATCAAGGGCGGAGGCTTGAAAAATGTTTACATTTAAAAGGTAGAAAGAGGGAGACGAGGTGCAAAAGTCTAAAGTTACTTTGTGATGTTTTTAAGAAACCAGCACTTACCCTTGCAAGTCATAGCAGGAGCCCTTTGCTTTAGGCGTAGCCCTCATCAGAGAGATTAGACATTTTACTTGAAAATGCGAATAAGCATATCCCTCATGATATGGATCTGGTGGAGAGTTGTAATAAGCAGGCATGGGGCACGTAAAAACTACCAGTGTGCTATCATAGTGTCGTTTCTGCCTGTCGAGTCATACATGTACCTGTAAAATATGATTAATCTTTGGTCAGGTTGCCAATAAACATAGCAGAGCTTAGTCCAGGTAAATCAGCTTATAAACCTGGAGAAGAGAATGCCTTGAGTCCTTTAATGTTTGCTAGATAAACAGTGTGTATAATCAGTATTATAAATAATATGATGCATAGTGTATTTTCTTCTCTCTCTCCTTCCTCACTTTTTTCCTCTTCTTCCTTTCCTCCTTTCTTTTCTCTCACCCTCCCTCCTTCCTCTCTTCCTTCCTTGTTCCTTTCTCCCATGCTGTGTGGCTCATAGGATCTTAGTTCCTTGACCAAGAATCAAGCCCTAATCACTGGCCTGACAGGGAATTGCCTTAAATGGATTTTCCATCTAAGATTAAGGAGAAACTGTCTGGGAGAACCTACACTGGATGCGTTTTACTCTGCAAATGGGAAGACTCATGAGCTTCCCCACAGTGTGTCACATGCTCATGAAGGTACACCGAAGGAAGTGCTCAAGCTGCCTTCTTAGGAAGCTTGGGAGTGGATTGAAGGATAGTGTGAGTGAAGGATTTGGGAGTTGAAAGAAGGCACTGGCAAGGAGGGCACATGAGGAGAGGAAACTTGGAAGAATAGAGGTAGGCCTAAGATCAGAGCTCTGGAGCAGACAATAGGGGATAGGTCAATTTGCTGCTTAGCTCATTGCCTGATACAGTAGTCAGGGAGAAGCAACGTTTTGCCTGCAGGACCAATGGAATCCTACTTTGCCTCCATCTTTTTTTTTTTTTAAGTTTTATCTATTTATTTTTTGACTGTGCTGGGTCTTTGTTGCTTTGTAAGGGCTTTCTCTACTTGCGGGGAGTGGGATCTACTCTGCTGTGTGTGGGCTTTTTATTACGGTGGCTTCTCGTGTTACAGAGCATGGGCTCTCGGGGCATGCGGGCTTCAGTAGTTGTGCCGCACAGGCTTAGCTGCTCTTAGGTGCATGTGGGATCTTCCTAGCAAGGGAATGGAACCGGTGTCCCTTGCATTGCAAGGCAGATTCTTAACCCCAGGACCACCAGGGAAGCCTTGGCTCCATGTTATTTTATTGATTACTTGACCTCAGTCATCATAGCATCTTCCTGACCTCAAGTTACTGTTAATTTATTGTACTAACTATTCCAGATAGAATATTTGAACATGTAAATCACTGTCTAGTCCTAGGGATCCATGTACCTGAGTACTAGAAAGTTTAATTTCGTTTCGCTTCAAGACTGTAACAAAGTAGGTATGATCTTTTCTAGCCCCGGAATATCCTGGCCTTGGGTGACATGGGATATCACTTTGGGCTGACCTCGTAGGTCAGAGGTATATGCTTATTTCTTGTGTTGTTTCTGGTAAGGCAATCAAGAACAGCGAGAAGCAGGGATAGGAAGATTGTTTTCAAATGTGGGTTATTTTCAAATGTGGGTGTCTAAACAGAGGTATTCATACTAGATTTTAGTACACAAAACTGATTGGGTGCTGTGTAATTTTCAGGTTTCTTTTTTTTTTTTTTTAATTCAAAATGCCCCTGAGAAATGATGGTCTACAAAACCTTAGTGTATAGAATTTTAACTGATTCCTTTACTCAAATATTACAGTGACCTCATATCTGTTACTGAAAACAGATTTAGAATCTAAAAAGTTACAGGCCCATAGAGGTTGTATTTTTCAGTTTTAAGCTAATAAGTATTTGCAGTTCAATTTAATTTACATTGTGCTGTATCTTTTTGACATATCTCTGTGTGTGAGATGTGGTACATACATAATCCATTTATAAAGAAAAATTTGACTAAGAAAAAGCTCTGTTGGAATTTTTTATTCTGTAAATGTTTATTTGAGTGTCTAACAGTCTGTGTCTTAGCCACTGGGGATATAGCAATGAAGCAAGCAAAAGATCCTTGCCCTCTGGAGTAAGCTATACTTTCAAGGGAGAATATTTCCCATTAGGTGATACCTACTCAAAGGAAGAAGGGTACCTTAGTCATCTAGGAGTTATACTTTCAGAGACCTGAGATATAAGCAAACCCACGGGAGACAGGGGTTTATTACATTTGACTTTTGTTTGTTGTGTTCCCTGCTGTATCCCAGAGCCCAAAATAGTGCTTGGCTCATATGTCTGTTGATCAGAAGAGTTTATTGTTTTGAATTTGTATAATCAGAGACATGAACTTTAATAAATGATATTGCACCTAGCTAGTTGAAAAGTTTATAATCTCCTTTACCTTTTTATATTTGGTACCTACTTTTTGTTTCTCTTGGTGTCCTCATGGCAGGATGCAGGAGCACCTTATTAATATTAATAATTAGTCATATGGTAATCTGATACGGCAAAGGTTAGATTTGGAAAGGAATTTAAGAGGTCATCTTTTGTTCAGCTTCCTGCCTAGGAAAAAACAGTAAGATAATTAGGTATGTATTTTTAATTAATCATTTAAAAAACTAGGACAACATAATTGGGTTCTCTCTTGGGAAAGTAGTGAAAGGTACTTAACCCTAGATATAAAGGTACTAACCTGAAAAAATTAGAACTTCTAACTGTGTGGGAAAGTGGAAAAAAATCGAGCACTATTAAGCTGCTCTTTGTTGATATCAGAAATGGGCCTGTCATTCATTTTGGCATTGAAGCATAGCCTCCTATCTCAGGGGGCAGAACCAGGACTTTTTTTTTTTTTCTCCCAGAGGAGCTGGACAGTTATTATAGGCTGAAAAGTCTGACCAGTTTTTCAAGAGTTTCTCCTCCCCCCGCCCGCCCCACAAACTCATGGTTCTTTTGCTCTGCCTTCAAGATGCACTAAAATCTTCTCCTTTCTGACTGCTTCGGAGCCAGCAAATACCCTGACATGTATAATTCGAAATATGCAGAGTTCATGAGTAAGTTCCATCCTACTTTTTGGCCAGTTAAAATTCAAGTGATTTTTAGAAAAGCGTTAGGATTGAGTCAGGCGTTGTGTTGTTTCACCACTTCTATTTTAAGGCTATTTCTGAAAGGCTTTAATATGACTTTGTTTCTTTTTAAGTGTTTTTGTGGCATTAGACAGTACTCCTCTTTTTTAAAAGCCAGTAACGAATTTTCTTGAGCATCTTTTTAGTTTTACTGAGAAGTATGTTAAATTGAGCGGCTCTGAGCTCGATTGCTCATGTCTGACACAGTCTCAAGTTTCCTCTGAATGGTAACAAAGACTGTAGAGTGTTGTTGGTACTGCAGTGAGAGGCATGCTTCTTTAGACCAGGTAAGAGAGATCATTTTGTTTCTTACTGCTGGGTGCGTTTCTACAGCGTTTATTTTATGTTCTTTCAACAGCAGCAATGTTAAATTGATAAATAGCCAGGAGCACGCCGATTTCAAGACGTCCTTGCTTGTTGCAGACAGGAAAACTACAGGGTATGGGGGTTGGGGTGGGCAGGGGGGGAGGGGTAGAGTAAGCTTAGTTCATCACTCAATTACTTATATAAAGCAATTAAAATGTAGAAATAATTCTGGAGCTCCATTTTCTCTGTTCAAGAACCAAAGAAGCAATTAAAGAAAGAAATCCTTTTAAAGGCACTTCGTGGTTCTTACTTGTGACTGCAATTCAGAAGGGAGTTTTTACTTTCATTTCTTTCCAGTGGTTAATAAAATAAGCTTTGCCTCTTACCATACAATTTTTTTTCTCATTTATGAAAACTTTGAAATTGTCAAGAGTAAAATCCACTTCCTCAGGATCTTTGGAATAAACCTGACACTTAAGAAAAATATTTCAGCTTTCATAGCTGTTTCATTCCCTTTTTTCCTAGTTCATTTTTCTTAAAAGTATTTGTGCTTTGAAAATGTCAGCTGTATTCTAATGAAGCTCAGGCATTGTTTGCTCATAAAGGGGCCGGTGCATTCCACTGCTTTATGGTTTATTACCAGGCACAGTGTGAGAGTGTGGGTGGCACCATTTGGTGTCTGCCTCTTGGTAGGGACTGCCATTATGTTAGCATTGGATTGGCAAGGGAAATACAGCGTGCAAGATCCTATATGAATCTGGAGCCTGTGAAGAAAATTTTAGCCATAAACAGTCCTGCCTGAGCCCAGAATGTGTGACAGCTTGATCTCTTCAAGTGTACTCTTGAAGCCTGCATTTCAGTTACAATGAGTATTCCCCCAGTCACATCTCTGGTTTTGTGGTATATGTAACATTTACTTGTTCTTTGAACTTCAGTAAAGTGAATGTTTCTAGATAAACTATTACATTTTAAATGGACACGGTACACTTTTCAATAATACATTTACTTAAAAAAAAAGTTTGAAGGAGCTTAGTGTTGGGGGGTGGCGGGTGGAGAGGGAGAGGAGGTCAGGCAGAGGCTTTCTTTCAGTTTGGAAAGCCCTGATGAAGAAAAAAAGCAACAGATGTTTCTTCTGTTACAATTGTGGTTGTTTCATTCAAAATTCACAGTAGCTGGAATGGGGAGGGGCGGTCATAAATCTGACTTAATCAGTGAATAAAGAAAAAATAGTCTTTCAAAATCTATTCTTTTATATTGAGATTTGAGAAACAGTACAGAGTAACATATTCCAAGTAACATACTTTTTGAAGAGGTGGGTTTTTTTAATTAAAAATAATTTTTGTGTCATTAATGGAAATGTGAGAAGGTTAGTGATAGAGGAAATGATCATTAAACCATATAGAACATTATGGAAAAAATTAAGCCATTATAAAATATATAAGGAATACTCAGGTGGCAAAAGTTTGTAATTGCACAGTAGGTATTAAGGCTCAAAATGAAATTGCAGCGTGAGACATCATTTACATTTGGTGAGATTATTTTATCTTCAGTGAGAAGCATGAGACTTATTCCTAAAGATCTTTGAATAAGAAATGTGGGGAAAAAAAAGAAATGTGGGAGAAATATTTTGAGTTTAATTGAAATGATGTGTTGTAGTTTCCCTCTTTAAAAAAAAAGGATAGTAAGCTTAGAGCAAGTAAGCTCGTGGAAAGAGGAGAATGTTTATCTGCTGAAAAGGGTAAGAAGGAAGAAGAGCTTGGAAGCGATATGCGTGAAATGAAAGCAGTCAAAAAATGACTTTTCACTTGGTAAAGTTCATAATGAGTAAAGTAAAAATGTCTCCTTTTGCAAGTAACAGAGAGGCTCTGTGCTCCCATATAGTATGTGTTTATATATATATTACGATTTTATGCCTCTCTTAAAGTTAGCTCTTAGGAAACCAGTGCTGAGCACCAGATATTTCTGATTAGGCACTTACTAAAATGTAGCCCCCACCTTGCACCATGAAGTTAGTAATATATGCTAGCCAGAAAATTCTTTGAACCGTAGTTCCAAATTTGCATATGGAGCAAATGTTAAACGGTTTTCTAAATGTTTTGCTGCTCTAAGGAGAGGACTGGGAAAGATAGCAACGTTAAAGGAGATTATTAAAAAGTTCTCTTGCTCCTTGCTATGATCTCTGGGCTTCCCAGAAGATTTTCTTTGCTTCACGTAATGACAACAGAATTCAGAGATTTTGAAACTTTTCAGACCATTTTTTGAATTAAGATTAAGGGTTTAAAGAATAGCAGTATGTAGCAGTTGAATTGTTTTTCTCTAAGATAACTAACTTGCAGGAGCTTAAAATGGATTTACCAAGTTATAGGTTTGATTAGAGTAAGAATCTTTATCATTTTGACCAAACAATGTATATAGTTTTAATGGACTAGAGAGCCCTAAAGAAAAAAAAAGAAAAAAGAAAGGTGACCTCACATGTGATACATAACTTTGACAGCATCATGGGTTATAGTTATCAAAAATATGCCACTTATGATTATAAATGTAGGTATGACAGTACATTACCACATCAGCAACAGCAGTCAGAAATCATTAAGACTGTTAAGCCTTCAATTTAAGAATAACATACTGAATGGAGACTTCTGGAGTGAAATACCTGTGGTTCCTGCCTTCTATGTAAACTCTTTCCTATTCATTTCTCTCCAATTCTGAAGACCCAGAGAGTGGCTGATTTAGATGTTCTCTTGGCTTTGCGTATTTTTATGCCATTAGAAACCATTCATGGTGACCTAGAACTCTCTCATCTCTGGTGTGCAAGTCATAGGGAAGATTTGCCAGATGCCTATGTTTTTCTGAAAAGAAAACCTTTTTACATGGTTGTTAAGGAGCAGGTACAAGTGCTGTGCTTTAAGTGTCTTCAGAGCTAACTCTGTTTTGCAAGTGGCTACAGGAACCTATGGTGTAATAACATTCTTTCTTTCTACCAAGTTTTAAGCAACCAGTTTTCAAGTGAACTTTTGGTTCTTGACTCCGAAGCTGGAGATCATCAGCAGGGGGCTTTGTTTTTGGCACTTGGCTCTCTGTTGCACAGTTTGGCAGCTCTCTTGGCAATTTCTCTGACAGAGAAATCAAGAGACTTCTAACTGAGCACTTATTGTGTGCCAAGTGGACCCAGTAGAACTTTTTTTTTTTAATTTGCAGAATCTTTTCATGGGTAAGATTTTAATACAAAAGAGTGTGTTAATACTGATGTCTAAGATTTTGTGCTCTTGATGGTATGGTTTAAATGTAGCTTCAGTGATAGCTCAAGTGAAACATAGTATTGAAATAAGAGTATAGATAACAATGCAGTTTTGAATGAGTTAACAGAGTGGCATATGGAATATAATAATCCTGGTTTTTATTTGCTAAGGAAAAGAACTGCTTTGAAATTCTAATTCATGGGTGGTCTTGGTCTTTTTGAGTTTGTTTCCTAAAGTTTTAAATTTGTTTTAAGAATGCAACTTTTAAACTGAATCTGTCTGTAGCCTTTGGTACCTTTTGTAAATATTAGAAAAAGAGCTTCTCTTGAAAATGTGAAAGTGTTAGTTGGTTAGTTGTGTATGACTCTTTATGACTACACAGACTATAGCTCCCCAGGCTCCTGTGTCCATGGAATTCTCCAGGCAAGAATACTGGAGTGAGTAGCCATTCCCTTCTCCAGGGGATCTTCCTGACCCACAGATCGAACCCAAGTCTCCTGCATGGCAGGCAGATTCTTTACCATCTGATTGATTTATTTGTAACAGGGTCTGGGGCAAGTTAGCATCTCAGAGGGGTTATGGGCTTCTTCATGAGAGTGATTCCCAGTTAAGTGCCCTTGGGTGTCCTGATGCTCAGCGGGCCTGATCTTGTGGTTGCACCAGCTGTGTCGATCTACTCCAGCCATTCAGTGGCTGCTGGTCCAAGATAAAATATGCTGCTTTCCGTCACTCTCTTTTCTAGACAACAGACAGCGTCTTTGTGCCATCTGGTGGGTCTGTTGGCTTTGGTGAGGTGCTAAAGGTAGTGGCTGAAAATAGGCTAAACACTGAAAGGATATAACATGTAAGAACTAGAGACAATAAATAATAAGAATTAATAATAAATAAGGATCACTTGGCCCTTTCTCTTTTAAAGACGAAAATGGGAGATGAGTGGAGTAGAGTCTACTTAGATGGCATCACTTCCTGAATTTGAACACAAAGAAAAAGGGTACTTGTAGCAGTGTGTCCCGGTCTTGCTTGATCCTCAGACATATGAGGTACTTATTTAGAATACTCATTGCCACCCGGTTTTTGATCCTTTAGGTGTCTAGTGGAGCCCAGAAACATATTTTGATGAAGAGGGACACTACCCTCTCCCACAGTTGTCACCCTCTTTGTGTCCTAGGACCAGGTGGGAAGAGTTACTGGGAAGGCTTGGAAGAACCGAGTCGTTTGAGGCCATATGGTAAACTTAATTATTAATCAAAAGATTAAGTGTCCAACACTTGGAAATCCTAATTAAGAAGGTGGAAGGGGAAATCAAGAATTAAAAGTTGTCCTTGTCTCAGCAAGGTAAACAGAAAAAGGACAAAGGGACATATTTTAACTAAAGATAAAGAAGCCATTGAAAAACAGTAGGTTCCAGCCTCTAGAAGAGCTGAATGTTTTTGGATGGACATTGAAAAGGAAAAGTCCTACAAAAGGAAACCAGGGAGAATGGATGATATGATTTCTAAGATCTTTTAGCTTTGACATTTGATGAACTAAACGAAAACAATTATAATACTCCTGATACCAGAGCTTGAATTAGCAGTTCATTTAAGAAATTAGTAGGCCCTCTTTAAATTCTGACATGTGAGGAGAAGGAGAAAGAAATGTTTTTCTCCTTTCAGATTGAAGAATCCAGGGTATTTATGGTTATGGATACCAGAAAAAGAGAGAGCTAGCTAATGGTTTTAAAAGGTGTCCTCCAAGTAAAAATTCTTATCAAAGCCAAGAGAAAAGACTGGATCCTCCAGGGCAAGGAAGGACTGACATAAAAGATTTATTGGCCCATTGGGAGTATGCTCTGAGGGCTGTAGAGTTGGTTTTTTTGGGGGTGGGGGTTATGGTCACTTCAAGGATCCTCTCTGGTTCCTTGGAAAGATTCTGGATAGGTGGTCCTTTGGGTGGTGATGGGGGGGGTGCGGAATCCTAGAAGTCTTGTTTTTTGACAGCTGCAAAAACATTCCGACTCTGGCTTCCATGCCTGTGATACATAGGAATGTGCATTTCACTTCTTCTGTCTTCATTTATGCTCTAAGGATGCTTGATTTCCATTTTGGAACCACATACACTAAAGGTCATTTTAACCATAACTTTGGAGATCTTATGAACTTTTCTATTTCTCAACCTTACCAATTATAGTGATACCATGGTCACCCATGTTACAAAGTGTAGTAATGGTATTGAATTTAATTTTAGCAACTTTGGTGAACATGGTTGAGTACAGGTGCAACAATATAGAACACAGCAGTATTACGGGGCACATACAGGTAATGTCCAGTATATAGCTAAACTGTAAATAGAAAGAAAACTTGAAAAAAAAAAGTTAACAAATGAAGTCAGAGTGACTGCAGGTTTATTTACCTTCAGTCCCCAATCCTGACATGCATCTTATATATGGATGTGCTATATTTTACTATCTTTACAGATTTGCTAATTCTAGTTGGATATGCTGTCTTTGCAAACTAATGTGTGCTTGATTTATGAAGATGGTGCTGTTGATCTGTGGGGCCTGAATTATTTTTCACATGAAGGTGATAAATATCCCCTGAGCCATCATATTGTTCTCCCTACCCCAGTCTCTCTTCAGTGACATATGTTATATGCTAGATGACGGGCTAGAATTAGAAATACAGTCTGAAGACTATGGAGTCTTCCCTTTTTGCAGAATGAACGGACCTCTTCCAGAATTGACCTGTGACTTGACCTCATTAGTACTGTATTTGAAACTGATCTATAGTTCTTTAAAACTGTTATTAACAAATAATTAAAGGGTAGTATGGGAAGGAGGGAAACGCTTGACACTTTCTGAGTCTCCTTATTCTCTTTGGAAACGTTAATCATGAACGAAGTGAAGCATGTGATGAGCCGCATCAGTGGAGCAAACAGTCAGCAAGGTACGAATGAAGGTAGTCAGTAAGGTAGACTTTCTTGTAGCGTGGGGAAGGGGAGTGGGGTTCTCATTAGATGGTAGCCGTCCACTACAGATAGCCTAAAGTAGCCATCTCGGGGGCAAAATCGGGTCATTCATTTCTCACATTAAATAAATTCCAGATGGTCAAGGGTGTAAAATTTAAAATGAAGGTATCAAAGTAGAAAACATGGGGGATGTTTAATACAGTCTTAAGTATGTAATGAATGACAGTTAAATTGAAGAAGAGCATTTCTAACTAGAAATACCAAACTTGTGCATGCTAAGTCACTTCAGTCTTGTCCGACTCTTTTGTGACCGTGTGGACTGTAACCCAACAGTCTCCTCTGTCCATGAGATTTTCCAGGTAAGAATACTGGAGTGAGTGTCCATGCCCTCCTTCAGGGGATCTTCCTAACTCAGAGGTTTAACCTGTATCCTTATGTGTTCACAGACCTCTTAAATATGACATTAAAGTCATAAAAGGAAAGTTAAGATTGACAGCATTCTTTTCAATGTAAAGAGAAAATCATATATAAAAGCCAAAGACAAGTGTCAAATTGGGAAAAATATTTTCACCAGGTATAACGAAGAATATTCTTACCCTTTCAGTATTTAAACAGAGTCCACCAAAGAATCACCAACAGCCAATAGAAAGATGGTCCTAATTCTCAGGAAGGAAAATTTAGATGACTTTTAAACAAAGCATGTTAGCCTTATTCATAATAATGAAACCAAAATAAAATCAAAATGAGATGCTATTTTTAACCTAAAGATTGACAGAAATAAAGTTTGATAAAACACTGAGTTGGTAAGGTTATGTGGAAATGGATACATTCATACATTTCTGAACAGAGGGTGAATTTACAGATATGGGGTACAACTGATGTGTGTAAAGATATATGTAGTCATTGCAGCATTCTTTGTAGTAATAAAAAGATTTTGCTATTAATGTTTGTAACATTAAAAGCTTTTTATTATTAAGGAACTCAAGCAGCTAGAGCTATAAAAAGAAATATTATCTAGCTAACAAAGTAAATGTTGAAGCAAAATAACATATGTATGTAAATAGGTGGGGAAAGACATCTAAAATAGATATAGTATTGTTAAGTGGTAAAAAAGCAATGTGCAAACTGATATTTTTTAAACCATATGTGTAAGGGAAAAAGGATGTATATATGCATATATGTTAGTATATGCCTTGTATTCAAGGCATTCAACCTTTCTGAAAGGTTATATAGAAACTGGCATCGTAGCTGTCACTAGGGAAGGGGGAATGGTTAGGTGGTGGTTGGTGATGGGAGGAGATATAGTTTTCATTGAATAATATGTCTGTCTCCTGAATTTGTATCACATGCTTCCATGCAGACATTCATGTATTCGTGCATTTATTCATTCATCTGACATATATTTTTTGACATGTTTTTGGAGTATAGTTACTTTACAGTGTTGTGTTAGTTTTTGCTTACTGTGCAGCAAAGTGATAAGCTATAAGTATGATATATTTCTCCTCTTTTTTGGATTTCCTTCACATTGAGGCCACTGTGGAGCAGTGAGCAGAGTTCCCTGTGCTACACAGCATGTTCTCAGTGTGTGTGCTTTGTCACTTAGTTGTGTTTGACTCTCTTGTGAATGTGTAGACTGTAGCCCGCTAGGGTCCTCTGTCCATGCCAGGATTTTTCTCGGCAAAAATACTGGATTGGGTTGCCATTTCCTCCTGTGGGGATCTTCCCGACCCAGGGATCAAACCTGCATCTCCTGTATTTCCTACATTGACAGGTGGATTGTTTGCCACTGAGCCCCATCAGTTACCTATTTTATACATAGTATCAATAGTGTGTGTATGTCAATCCTAATCCCTCCATTAATCCCACACCCACCCTTCCTTCCTTGGTGTCCATACATTTTATTTGTTCTCTACGGCTATGTCTCTGATGGTCTATACCAATTTGTTCAGATTGCACATATATGCATTGATATGTGATACTTGTTTTTCTGACTTCACTCTGTATGACAGTCTTTAGGTCCATCCACATCTCTACACATAACCCAGTTTTGTTCTTTATGGCTGAGTAGTATTCCATTGTATTTACCTGTGTGTGTGTGTGTATACATACACATATACATACATAGATATATATGCATACACACACCACATCTTCTTTACCCATTCCTCTTTTGATGGACATTTAGGTTGTTCCTATGTCCTGGCTATTGTAAATAGTGCTACAGTGAAAATCGGGGTGCATGTGTCTTTGTGACAGATGTGTCATGTGTGCTATGGGCAGATAATAATCATACAAGCAAGTAAATGTAAATTTGCAGTACAAACAGAGAAGTACTGTGGTGAAAAATGGTGAATGAAGAAGTGCTGACATGGGGTAATCAGGCATGTCTGACGCACTGACAACTGAGCAGAGTCTTGAAGGAAACTGGGGAATAAGACACATAGATAGGTATCTAGTGGAAGAAAGTTATCAACAGAGGGAACTTGAGAGACAAAGGCCATGAGGGAGAAAATTGCTGGACATGGTTTGAGGAGCATCGCACAGTCCTGGGTGAATGCAGTACAACAAAGGGAGAGATAGGGGAGAGATCTGACAGGTGATGATGTCAGAAAGGAGGGGTCAAGTGACCTTGGGCCCCATTAACCGTCTTAAGGACTTAATGCTAACTGAGATGCAAAGTCAGCTGGAGAGTTTGGAAGAGAATTACTCCACAAAGCAGGATCCCTCGGCTGTGTGATGACAAACAGAGCAGTGCTGTTCAGTAGGACGACGTAAGTCACATAATTTTAAGTTTTCTAGTAGCCAGGTTAAAATGATGAAAAGAAATGGATAAAATTAATCTGAATGATAAATTTTATTTACCCCAGTATCTAGAACATTTATCATTGAACATGTAGTCAACATAATCAAATTTTTAGTGAGATAGATTTTAGTTACTTAGCCTTGAAATTCTGTTATCTTACATTTAAAGCACATTTCAGTTTAGATGTTAAAGTTTCAACAATTGAGGTGAAATGCAGTACTACCAAAATAGTCATGCTGGTTTTTTTTTTTAGTCATGCTGTTTTTAATGGCAAAATATTTTCTACTGCTTCAGTTTGTAAATTTGAGTTAATTAAAATTTTAGAAGTTTAGGAATTTGGAGAGGGAAATGGCAACTCACTCCAGTATTCTTACCTGGGAAATCCTGCACACTGGATTTCCCAGGCTTGAGGAGCCTGGCGGACTACAGTCCATGGAGTTGCAAAGGGTATTAGTGATGCTAAGGCAGGACTTAGCGACTACGCAACAAGAACAGAAGCTTAGGAATTAGGTCCTCAGTCATGCTAACTCCGTTTCAAGTGCTTTATAGCTTCTGTCTAATGACTACTGTATTGGAAAGCTTGGGAGTAAACTTTTGGGGTTAGGTGGGCCTAATGCAGGACAGGTGGCTGAGTCAGGAACACTTCACAATAATTCAAGATAGAAATGGTCACTTGGATCAGACTGGTAGCAGTAGAGTGGATGAGAAATGGTTGCATTCAAGATACATTTTATTTTGTTTTGTTTATTTTTTAAACTGTGAGTTTGTTGAGGGCTTGATATTATTATTTATTTGCCTGTGCTGGGTCTTCATTGCCACATGACGTGTGGGATCTTTAGTTATGACTCTTAGTTGTGGCACGTGGGATCTAGTTCCCTGACCAGGGCTGGAACCCAGGCCCCCTGTGTTGGGAGTACAAGGTTTTAGCTACTGGACCACCAAGGAAGTCCCACATTTATTTTATTTTTTGTAAACATTAAATCATTTTTATTGTGGGTATGGATACAGATGTATAGCAAAGAACTAAATGAAAATTCAAAATAAGGACCACCATCATAAATGTAAACCAGTAATGTTCTGACACAACCTCTTTGTACGTAGATTGTTTGGGTGGGTTTTTTTAATTACTTTTTTGGGTACATTTTTTTACATTTTTCATTGTCCATCTGCTTTTTTTTTTTTTAATCTGTAGTTTTCAAAGGTTACTTTCCATGAACAGTTATTGTAAGACACTGGCTGTATTTCTCATGTTGAACAATACTTCCTTGAGCCTATCTTACACCCAATAATTTGTGCTTCCTACTCCCCGACCTCTATATTGTCTGCCCCCTCTCCCCACGTGGTAGCCACTACTTTGTTTTCTAGTCAGAACACATTTTAAAGATAGGGCCAGTAGGATTTGTTAATGGATTGTATGTAGGATATAAGACAACGTCAATAGTCATCTCTTCTGGTCTATAAAGAGTTGAAGAATGGAGTTGACATTTACTGTGATGAAGAGAGAGATGGGAGAAGGAGTTTTCTGTGTGGGATGGGGAGCAGTCAGAGATTTGCAGTATTAAGAGTTCAGTTTTGAGTATGTTAAGTTCGAGGTAATGATTAAACATCAAAATGGAGATATGCAAAAGGACAGTTGTATACATGAGTCTGACAGGAGCTGTCGTACCACCTCGTGAGGAAGAGTTGACAGAGAAGAGTCAGAGGACTGATAGAAAGGGCTCTCGAATGTTTCTAGAAAGGAGGATCCAGCAACCATGAGTGAGGAGAAGCCAGTGGTTTGGAGGAGAGCCCAGAGAGAATGGAGGTTTGGATGCCAAGTGGAGAGTGTTTGAGAGGAAGATGTGATTTTGAAAAGCATCAGATATGGCTGATAGATTAAGGTTAAGTTGAAAACTGAGATTTAGCAACATGGATTTAGACCATTGGATTTAGCAACATGGAGATGATCTTGGTAACAACTAGTTCAGTGAAGTTTGGGAGTGGGCACAGGAGTGGGTTAAAGAAAACAGTGAAGTAGAGAGAGCAGATGTTGACAGATTTTGTGAGTTTTGTTGTTGTGAAGGGCAACAGAAACGAATTGGTAGCTGGAGAGCTGTGTACGTAGTTAAGGAAACTTAACTATGTTTTTGTGTTCTGTTTTTAAGATGAAAGAAAAAAATGCGTGTTCATATGCTG